TATGTATATTTATTTATATGTATTTTTTTGTTTTTAATTAACTTTATGAAGTGGCATTTAATCAGTGTGATGAACTCTCATTGAGCGTCTGTGTAACACAAACACAAATTAAAGGTAAAGTTGACGTTAGTAACAGGTTTTTCTAGGTCAGCACACACACACACACACACACACGCACACACACACACACACACGCTCACTAATTATGGCTGAGTATGCTGTTTAACTAAATTGCCTCCACTTTTCCCTTTTCTTTTTGCCAGCCATTCTAAAAATACTATATATCTCTGTTCAAGTTGTCTGAAATGATCTTGTTTATTTTGACACATGAACTACCTGTGTTAAAAAGAAAACATATTGTTCCTGTTGATGTGATATAGAGGAGAATGAAACCCTCTCTGTGTTTTTCGTTTTGGTGAAAGAAGGAATATGATTGTTATTGAGATAATAACTGTTTTCTCTTGATCACTACTCATATCACCTGCTAATAGATTTGTTTCCTCTCCACGATTCAGGTGGAGTCATGGGAAGCTTCAAGGGCCACGCGCTCCCTGGAAGCTTCTTCCTGGTGGCGGGGATCTGGTGGACGGGGAAGTACTCGCTGTGGCGCACCTCCCGCAGGAAAAAGAACATGGGTTCCACCCGTCTGGCCAGCAGAACCTCACAGCGCCGCCTGGAGGTCATCGAGAGCTCCGTGGTTCTCTTCTTCTCATTTGTTGGTACGTAGATCTCCCTCTCTCTCTCTCCATCAAAACACACAGACATGATTTCTAAATGCACTAACTCGTGTTTTTTAAAAACGACTCTGTCGTGAATCCAGAACACACGAAAGTAGTTTAAACTTTAATGAGTACGTTGTGACACAAATAAGCACTTCTAGAATTCACTCTTTAATTAAGGCAAACATTTATTAAACATTTATTTTACTACTTTGTCTGTTTCGTATGTTTTTTATGGCTGTTGACAGTATTTTCTGGTTCATGGAGTGAAACAAAGAGATATCATGAATGTAAAAACCTTTGACTCTAATATGTCAACAACATGAAACAAGGATTTTGAACCTGCTTTTACAGATCTATGTTCAGATTTATGTTCTGGAAATGTATGAAAATGAACAATGTGTTTGATAAAATAATGCGTCATTTGCATATTTAAACATAACATTTATAAAAACTTGTAATACAATAAATAATCATCCTAATATCAGTAATGAACTGGTGAAGTTTCATGCTGACATACAGCAGTTCATTTTTAAACCTTATTAAACCTGCAGGGATGCTGGCGGAGCAGTTTGCAGCAGACGGGCCGAGACTCCGTCTCTACGACTCTGCAGGTCAACACTGGGAGCAGCTGATGAACTGGCAGCACGCCACCATGTATCTGTTCTTCGGCCTGGCGGCCGCCGTGTCTCTGGTCGTTCACACCACGGAGGCCGCTCCGCTGGCTCTGGACCGGCTGATGCTGGCCGTGGCTTTCTTTAATGAAGGTGAGAAAGATTTTTGTTTTTACACTGTGTTATTTATTAAGACGTCGTATATAAGATATTCCTCCACAGCCCCATCTGAGCTCCTTTATTGACAACAAATGTGTTATTGTGTATCATAAATATTATTTAACACTATTTTATAATGTGTTATAATATTGTTTCAATGTGTAGGTTGGTTTGGTCATGTTTGCATATTGAGGCAGAAGCTGAACGTGTAAACCACTTATCCATTACATGTAGCTACTTAATGATAATGATCTTACTATACTGATTTGTTAGTGCATCAAAGGAGAATAGTTGCCCAATAAAAAGTGCAGATGAATACCTGGTTATAACTGGATGAAAACAATCATTCATGCCATTTGACAGCATGTAACTGGAGAGCGATAAGTATTTTTTCCATCGATGACTTCTCTTTTGCTCCTTCAGGATTTATCTTCTTCTACCACCTCCACGGCCGGAGCATGCTGGACGTCCACGTGCACCAGCTCCTTCTCTTCGCCATCATTGGGGGGGCTCTGGTTGCGTTCCTGGAGGTCTTCCACCGAGGGAACGTGGTCCTGGAGCTGCTGCGCTGCACCCTCACTCTGCTGCAGGGCAGCTGGTTCTGGCAGGTAAACGGTTGAAGGTGTGAATGTGAGAGCTGCATGTGTTCAGAGAACATGAACATAAATTAACATCTCGCTTCTTCTTTTGGCCGCAGATCGGTTTTGTGCTGTACCCCCCACGAGGCCCCGAGTGGGACCTCGATGACCACAACAACATGATGTTCGTCACCATGTGTTTCTCCTGGCACCTCGCCTTAGCCATGCTCGTCGTGAGCGCGCTCTATTGCACCATCAGCTGGTGAGAACCTGCTCCACACCGACGCCGTTAGAGTTTGTATTTTATATTAGTTCCAGTTTTCCAGAAAGGTTTAGTTTTTAAACATTTAGTTTTAGTTTGTTTATGTAGTTTTACCAAGAACCCTTTTACATTCCAAGTTTTTCATCTAAGACCCATTCGGGGTGTTCTACCGAGAACACTTTTTTTTATTCCAAATGTTTCGTCCAGAATTCATCCAAGTGGTTCTCCCGAGAATCCCTCTGATATTCCAAAAGTTCGGAACCCATCCAGGGTTCCCCATGAAGCTCCTAAAGGGTCGGGGCTGATGTGGTGTCACCTTAACCCAATCCTGGTTCAACATCACAGTTCTTTGGTTTGGATTTGTGGTTTGTTGAAATCGTCTTAAGATTTCAACAAACCTTGAAGAACTCGTTCTTAGCAAAAAGGGTTCTTTGGATGTAGAGGGTTCTTAATGGAACGCTTAGTCTTACAAAGAACCCTTGGAAAAACCCAAATGGTTCGAGAACCTCATCCCTTCAGGAAGAAGGCGCCATCTGATGGAACGTCAATGTTCGGTTTCTTTGGTTGACGGAACCACATGAAGGAAGTTCATGCTCTTCTGTGGTGATTTATTATATTAGAGCTAAAAAACTAAAACTGAGAAGAATATATGTTTAGCTTTTCTTATATTGTTTCTATTCAGTTTCAGTTTACGACTGCTTATTTTCATTTTCATTTATGCTAAAAACTCCACACCAAACGTCCCATAAACTGCTGCTGTTTGTCCTGAAGTCTGGAATAGCACTTCCTGTCTGACTGTTGCTTGTGCTTTCTTCACAGTGTGGTTCGCTCCGGATTGAGGAGGACTCCTCCGATGGAAATGGGTCTTCTGAAGCCCAGAGACAGGGATCCGGAGTCAGAGGATGAGATTTTATGAAGACGGACCGCCTTGTGACTTGTGAATATATCACAATTAAATCAGGGATGTTTGCAGTTCCAGCAGCAGAACGACTAGAAGCGAATGAGGAAATGTTTTCTGGACGCTTTGCTGTAGAATCATATCTCTACCTCTGCTTTATTTAATCAGATTTAATCAGCTGTAAACCTCTTTAGCCTTCAATCAGTGCTCCTTATTTTACTGTAGTCCTGATCCTCTATATGAACCAGTCTCAGTGTAGTCCTGATCCTCTATCAGACCTCCATCAGTAAAGAGACCATCAGAGAGAAGATGGTCTGTTTCTATGGAGTTATTCTTAATGCTCGTCATCGGATTCTGGTGAAACCAGATGAACTCATGCAGGTTCACCAGAACCTCCTTCAGCTCAGACTCCAGCAGAGACCGGTCCACGGTGGACAGACCCAGATCCTCCAACAGAGACCGGTCCACCGTGGACAGACCCAGATCCTCCAACAGAGACCGGTCCATCGTGGACAGACCCAGATCCTCCAGCAGAGACCGGTCCATCGTGGACAGACCCAGATCCTCCAGCAGAGACCAGTCCACCGTGGACAGATCTGGAGGGAGGAGGAGAGCTCAGCTCCTGGCAGCAGTGTCTCCTCCTCCTCCTCCTCCTCCTCCTCCTCCTCCTCCTCCAGGAGCAGAGCTTCTCCTCTCTGGGAGTCAACACCGACACCACGCTGCTGGAGACCCAGGACGTATCGCTGGACCCACTGGAGGGAAGGGAGGCACGGGAGAACCAGAACCAGGACTGAGAGGGGCAGACTGTCAGACCCTGCTGCAGTAGAATGAGAGGTTTTCTAAAGGGACTCTGGTGCTCAGAGACACTACAGCTTTAGTCCACAGGGGGCGACAGAACCAAGAGAACTTAGAGTTCCTCGTAGTAACTTTAAGTGCATTTTTTTGTTTCATAATGTTGAGTCACACATGTGAGATATCCCGAATGCCAAAAATAAGAATTTTATTAAAACTGTTTAGATTCAGCTATTTTAAATTATTATTGCAGCTTATATTGTGATTGTTGATACTGTTGTCTTTTCTTTTTACTGCATCTCTTCAGCGTGGCTTCATGTCTTCAGTGTTTATAGTAACACTTTAAAAAGTTATTATAGAATTATCCACAGACTTTGTGCTTTTGTGTACTGATCTAAATCTGTCACTAAATGTTATTTCCTCACTATATCACATAAACACTGGTGGTGTCCCATCACTGATACACTCATCCACTCATCCTGCAGACTTATTTTTGTCAACAAAGATCGTCTGCGCTGAAGAAGACCATTCACTCAGTTTTTAAAAATGTGGCCCATCATGTCTGACAAGTTAAATGTTCCTTAAATGTTGTTTATAACAAGCAGTTTGGTTGGTGTGCTACAAACCTGAAAGACCTGTATTTAATTAGTGCTGCAACTAACGATTATGGTCATTATCGATCAATCGGCCAAATGTTTTCTCAATTAATTGATTAACATATGAGGTTTAAAATGTCGAAGAATGTCAAATATGTCAATAAAATAGATGTCGGAAAAGGAATAACTTTTTTAAATTTTGCATTTGAAGAATGAAGTCGAAATTTCAGTGTTTGCGCTAATGCTAGTAGTTAGATTTATTCTGAAACGTTCGAAGTGTATTCTCAACATGTATTGTCAACATTTTATGTGTATTCTTACTAAACAAAAAATTAAAACCTTTCGTCTCTAATTTTTGTAAATATTTTCACTTTTCACTACTGCAAGCTCAACGTTATTCTCAAAATGCAAATTAATTTTAAAAACCTAATGTTCTTGCCCTTATGCCCTAATACTACTTATTCTGTAGTAGTTTTATTTAATCAGTAGTCCCTAAATTAAATAATTCAAAATTAAATAAATATTTAAAATAAATTATATTATAGCAGGCTGAATCTTAATTTGCATAAAACTTCGAAATTAATGTGATTTTTTAAAATTCACTCACGTGGATGAGGTAAGAAAAAAAAAAGAAGATCCTCGGGAGACGTCTGTGCTGCTTCTCAGGTGTGACTCACCACCTGTCCAGCAGGTAAGATACCTGACAGCAGCAGCAGCCACGTGACCTTGTTGTCCATCCGCACAGATCTGAAGAGGAACCGGCAACTTATTCCCCCTCGCGCTCCAGGAAACAGCAGCAGCACCATCAGCCTGAAGGATCTTCAGTCATGGACAAACTACAGTCGGTGTTAAACGGCGAAGAGGCGCGCAAAGACAACAAAACCGTGTTACAGGTAACATAAACTCCACCAGACACGCTGCTCAAACTCAAACCGAGCCAATAATCAAAGATTCAATCTGAACTTTATTAACACAGACTGTGAACGAAGCCTCGACCTTAGGATGGGGGACACGTTTGAAGGGGTTCGTCGCCTGTTTCGTGGTGGGGGGCGTGTGCACAGTGTTGGTAAGGATCTTTAAATAATGTCTATAATAATAATAATCTTTATGCTCCACTACAACAAGGAAGAGGCAGCAGGGAGAGGTGGTTGTACTGGTTCTTCTGGCTCTGAGGAATGTTAAAGATGTGACTCAGCAACACTGAGCAGGAATCTCTTTGCAGCAGTTTAGAGATGAAAAACATGCAGATTTTGTATTTTTTAATTATTATTTGAGAGGAACGTGTTTGTCTTTGCAGGGAGTGTGTCTGCTCTTCCTCCCCAGGATCGGGATCATTCTCTTCATTGTCTTTTACACTTTGGGAAACCTATGTACTCTGGGCAGGTCAGTAGTGTCTGGTGGTTTTATTTTGAAGGTGCAATCTGTAATATCTGGCCACATGTGTCACGTTCTCTCACGTTTAGCTAAGACCCAAGCGCAGACACAGACACGAGGTGAAGTTGGAAATAAGGTCTTTTACTTAAAAAGTCATAAACAAAAACTTAAAGCGACTCCAACAGGGAGCGGGCAAAACTCCAAACAGAATGCAAACAGGCAAAGTCACAAAAAAGCAAAGGTTGTTAGATATGTTTCTGTCCGACAGCACCATGTTTCTGATGGGGCCAATGAAGCAAGTGAAAAGGATGTGTGACAAAACAAGAGCCCTGGCCACCGCGCTTATGATTGTAAGTGCACTAAATATAGTTATTGATTTTGACTTTTGACTCGTTTCCCCTCCGTCTCTACAAGCAGACCTCTAAAGGGGAAATTAATAATAAAGAATATGATGATGACTGATTACATTTTGTTCAGACTTGCCTCGTGTTGACTCTCTGCGCCGTCTTCTGGGTGAGTTGAGTTATTTACGATCACATCTAATTGATGAAGAGCATGACTCAGTATTGATTTGAAGTCTGGTTTCACTTCATTCATGTCGTCTTGCAGTGGAAGAACTTTGGACTTGCTTTGTTATTTGTCATCTTGCAAGTCCTGTCGTTCGCCTGGTGAGTTATGATTTCTCCTCATAGATTTCAGTCTGAGATGATTATTGATTTGTGACATTAAATGTGTTTTTTGTTTGTTTGTTTGCAGGTACAGTCTGTCGTACATCCCGTTTGTGAGGTTTGTTATTTAAACGACATTGATTAACATCAATATTCAGACTCATAATGCTGTTCTTTCCATGTGTCCAGGTCTGATTTATGTGAATTACTTTCCAGGGATGCGATAATAAAGTTGGTGGCGGTGTGTGTTTGAGGCCCGTCGATGTTCGGAGGGTTTCCTGCTGGATGAAGAGGCCTCCTCCTCCTCCTCCTCCTTCAGAGAGTCTGAGACTCTTCCTGTTTTATCTCCAAAGACCTTTCTTTTATTTTGTTTATGCTTCATGCATTGTGCTGAATGATAGTTTGGTGTTTATTGATTACTTATACCAGTTTTAATGAGCGGGAGGGGGCTTGGTTTGTAATATGTGTAAATATTTGTAATAACTGTATGTATTAATGTTTATTTTGTAAATAAAACAGCCTCATTATTCCCATCACTAAGAGGAGCCTCCTTTGTACACTTTGCTGCAAATGGCTCTCTGTAAATTCTAAAGAATAATCTAGAATGTGGCTCGAGTATATTTCTAATAGATTGCACTGTTTGTTGTACTTCTTAGTTTGAACACTAGATGTCGCTGTCATTTTGAGTCAACCATCATTTGATACTATCTGATGGAAACATTTACCTCAGTCGATCAGATCAACAAGAAGTCAAAGGAAAGTGTGTTTCGTTAGTTTCCAAAGAACAAGAGAATGTTAGAAGACAAAGTAAACATCAGTGCCACACTTCTTACTGTTGCTTTCTGGTCTAGAAACACAGATTTTCTACACATTCAGTATTGTTTGACCCGTGACTCCTTTGTATTTGTATGTGTCTCACAATTAAAAAAAAAAGTTTGGACAGTCCTCTATATGAAACGTAAAAAAAAAAACCCGTCACAACTTCACAGAACCAAACCCGACTTCTTCAAATGTTTTGTTCAACCAAAAGTGAACCCAAAAATATTTTGTTTGCAATGATACATGACAAAGAAAAGAAGAAACATCCTACCAATCATTTCAGCTGTTATTCAGATGGCGTAAAATTGTGTGAACTGAAATAGTTACTTAAAATTCAAAATGCAGTTTCCTGCATCATTTAATAAAAGATTTGGTGCCTTAAAGCCGTGTTTGATCCGGAGGAACAGTCTCATTTATGAGGCTGTAACAATGAAAAAACATCACCAATATTTTTTCAAAAATATTTATTTATTGATCTTGATTAGATCTGTTTTTGTCCATATTGCTCCCACAGAAAAGTTGTATTGCTACAAGAGTCTTGCACCCTTAAATTGATTATTGATTTACTCATATTTTGTGTTATTTTGGTCTCAAATCAAGTCAAGTAACACACTGCACAACGGTTGCTTTATTTATTGGGCTTGAAAGTGTCAATAAAAAAACTAAATCCGAGTCAAAGTTCAAACAGTTTACTTCCTAAAACCAAACTTCATGTTTGGCATTCCAAATATATCCCAGTTTTCCTGTTGCAGTGCAAGGAATATGAATGAATGAATAAATAAATGAATAAGATAAGATAATCTTTTATTAGTCCCGCAGTGGGGAAATTTACAGTATTACAACAGCATATAGTATAGTGCAAACAAGAGACAGTAAAAAACAAGATCAAAACAAGTATTATAAATAAGTAATAAAATAGTAAAGAATATTAAATAAATAAAAAAGTAAAAAATCCACAATAACTAAATACATATTTAAATATTAGATATACATATTTAAATATAAATGTAAAAGATAATAATGGAAAGGTGCTTTATATTTTACTTTCTAATAAAATATATATTTACACACGAATACTCAACCGGAAAGGGCGGGGCTTTCGCCTCTCTAGCTTCCGTTTCACTAGGAGTTCGAACAGGCGCGCGCGCGCCCTTTTCCCCCTCCAGCCTCACGTGACCCAACCCGGAAGTGTAGCTGAACGTCCCAACAGCAACAACCGACCTGTCCGTACATGTCTGCGCTGAAGAAAGTTGAGCTTCTGTGAAACATGACAGACATTTTGTTAAAAATAAAAAGCAGCGTAGCAGAGAAGCAGAAGACAGCTGTCACTCAGAGCGACTTGGTTAAATGTGGATTAAAAGGTACTGTTAACTTTAGGAAAGTCTACGTATTCATTTAACGTTAGTTAGGTCAGCTAATGGCTATGTTTACACTGTGTTTAAGCTAGCTTACCAGTCTGTTGTGTTGTGCTGTCAGACTGACAATTTAAATAGTTCACATGACCTACCGGTGTGTCCATTACATGTCTCCTTGTCTCCTTCCCTCAGGGATCCAGCTGAGACCTTACCAGCTGGATGGGGTCCAGTGGTTGACCCAGTGTCTGAAGAACCAGCAGGGATGCATTCTGGGAGACGAGATGGGTTTAGGAAAAACCTGTCAGGTACGAGATCCACCAGTCCTCCTTAAGGCTGATATAAGTACTGATACATGTGTACTTTTACTTTAATATACCTATAATATATAAATTACATCTATTCTATTTTTTCACCAGCTTTCTTCAGTTTAGTGTTACTTTGCAGACGTCTCTGGATAATCATGTTTCAAACACTTTATTTATACAGAACCTTTCAAAACAAAAGTTACAAAGTGTTATTATATAATAATAATCTGCTAAAAATACGACAAGTTGCTTGTTGAATTAAAAAGAATGAAAGCAAGTTATTTCAAACATTATTTTATTGAACATTGAACTGAACTCAAAATACACAAATAAAAAGAACAAAACTGACATTTTTAGTGCAGTTTTGTCTTTAAACTAATTAACTCAAAAATCCCAGAGTTCAACATCCAAAAGAACAAGAGACAAGACACCAACTACATGAATGTCTAACTAAAATATATTTCTATGAATATTTAAATATTCCCAGACAATGAATTACAATTTTTTAATATTAATATAGTGTATATTATTGTATTATTTTATGTTGACGTTGTTTGGGGCTCTCTAAAAACTCAATACAAATTGAATAGAGAAACACAGACACATGATTACACTGTATTAGAGCTGAAATGAGGAGCCGATTAAAATATGAGCAATCATTAGAAATAAAATCTTCAACTATTTTAATTACCAATATATCCCGCTGTACAGTAATGAGGATTTGTCACTTTTATTTTGTGATATGATAATAAATGCTTCATCTTTCAACATCGCCTTTGACTTTAAGAACTTGTGATAATTGTGATGAAGATGTTCTGCTGTGATAAAGACACAGGCAGCGTTCACTGCTGTGTTGCAAAGGCCTGCGGCCTGATGAATTCCTGTAATATAATTGTAGTAACGTCGTGTCTCTTCAGACCATCTCTCTGCTGGTGTTCATGTCAGGAGCTCTGGGGAAGAGCGGTCCGTTCCTGGTGCTGAGCCCGCTGTCTGTCCTGGAGAACTGGAGGACGGAGCTGGAAGGGTGCAGCCGCGTTTACATTGTTGTCTTTCAACAGTACACACATTAAGAGTAGTGGATGAGGATTAGTACAGTACAGATGATGCTCGGCTAAAGACTACATTACTTTTACTATATTTACTAATATGCATTGGTTAACTTGTCTCTGTCGAGGTCTTAAAAAGCATTAAATGTGATTTCATGAAGTGAGCAGGAACCCTGAAGTATGAACTATTGTTCTGGGTTGCAGCTTCGCTCCGTCTCTGACTGTGTTGAGCTACAACGGAGACAAAGAGAGACGAGCTGAGCTCCAGAGGGAAACGCACACTCAGGACTTTCATGTTCTGCTCACGACGTACGAGGTCTGTGTTTCTATTCCATCAGAACATTATGATTCATCTGTATTCTAACTGACACGTTTTAACAAAAATAAATCGATCTCTCCTTTCCAGCTGTGTCTCAAAGATGCTTCATTCCTGAGACGGTGAGTGTGTTCTGAATTATAAATCATCAGAAACTGATTGAAATCTTGAGACACATTTAGTAGAAATCAGTGGAGGAAGAAGAACTTGAAGTATAAATTAGCATCAAATGGAAATACTCACGTAAAGTACAGTACTGGAGTAAATGTACTTCCTTCACTGGTAGAAATGAGGTTTGGTTGTGTTGTTTGATGAATGGACTTAATGAAGAACACAACAATGCATCAACTTATGAATGAATTAAAGCTAATGAACACACGCAGCAGCCGTCTAATATGTTAGACTGTATGTGTGTGTGTAGTAGGATTTAGAGTGGGTACGGAAAGTATTCAGACCCCTTTAAATTTTTCACTTTGTTTCATTGCAGCCATTTGCTAAAATCAAAAAAGTTCATTTTATTTCTCATTAATGTACACTCAGCACCCCATCTTGACAGAAAAAAACAGAAATGTAGAAATTTTTGCAAATTTATTAAAAAAGA